ATTGCAGAGCTTACGCAATCCCACAGATTCAAAATTGTCAAATATTTTAATTTAATATTCAAAGTAATATTTGTTTTTTTTTAAATCACCATAGCAACTTGATTGTTAATGTCAAGAATAACAAGTTATCAGAACTAGGGTAATATCGAAGTGAAACTAAATACAGACTCTATTTGTTAGTCCTAAGAAAGTCGTCACTAATTTGTATTTCATTTGTATTTCATATTCAATTATATTTCTGCAGCTTGAACTGATTATATGTGTGGGTGTGCATGGGATTACTTACTTATTGTAAGTGGAAATATGGAGATATATATTCACTGTACATATGCAAATGAAACTCTGTGAGTTTTGAACAATTTGTAACAGTGTTAAAGTTAACATAGAAAAATGACTCTATTTTAAAAGTGTATAACTATATTGAACACATTTTTACTGAGTGATTAATGTCTTTTTTAATCTCATTTCCAGCCAACTCCAAGCTGCTTTAGGAATAACACTTTTCATTTATACTTGCTGTGTGCCTTAATTCTGAAGACATTGACACTTCAATCTTTATTCTCATACTGGGAATTTTGTGATTGCTAAAACTCCTACTCTCCCTTTTTTAGACTTACCATTGTACATAGTCAGCAGTTGAACTAGGTGTAAAGAAGAACTCACAGTAACTTATTTTAAGGAGTTAAAAAGATTCTGGCTTTTAAAAAAGATTAAAATTATGTAATTTCAGAAAGTAATCATAATTACTTTTTTAAAAAAAGTTTATGGTCACATGTTAAAAAAGAGCAAAGTTTGTAATGTTACATAAAGTCATCATTTGTGCTCTTGTTGTTGTGTTCAGAACTGGAAGGCACTACGGATGTCTATTTACTTGAGCTTCACTCTGTTCATAGTTTGTTGTTTTCATATCAAAGAGTTCAATTGTCAATACATTCCTTCCACTGTAAAACTTCATCTCTTTCTCTAATGCATGCTTATCTTCTTGATCTCTTTCTCTGATGTTTTGTGCACAGAATTCAGATAAAGGTAAATGACATGGTGTCCAGTTGTGTCCCACTTTTATAAGCATTGTAACATTTCTTAAAACTTCCTCAAGAGGTTCAGTTTTGATTAGCTTTCTGAGTCCAAACACCAGAGATCAATCGTCTTAAATGCCCTAAAGAATGCCAAGGAAAATACAGACAGGGTGAAACCATCAAAACTTTATTAGAAAACAAAAAACAAGGACTGCAATTATCTTAGAAAGTATGTGTTTCTCTTTTGTTTTTTGGTGCACATTTCTAAAGTAAATAAAAATAAAAAGATTTGTCAACACAAGTTGTTTAGACCAGGGTTAATGCTAAGGTTAGAGTTTCAACATTTTATAGTGCAAGGATGTCATTGATATTCCTTATAACTCATTATTACTATGGCATGGAACGATGGTTTGCATCACTCACTTCTGAAGAATCCTTGCACTATGTTCTTAAAGTATGTTTGTTGTTTTTTACATGTGCCATGCAGCTGCAGTTGGCATACATTTGCATCTCTTTGTCCTTTTATGTCATTTTGATTGGACCATTGTATTAGTAATTCATCATTCTTTTTCAAATTAGTTTACATTGTTCCCAAGTTATCTTCCTTACTATCATTATTACTTCTTAGTTTTCTCCCCTGTTTCCAAATCAATTTAAATCACTAATTCATAGATGTCTACATTTTGATTGTAGATTACATGGGAAAACAAACAAAAAGAATTTCCACACTTTTTTTTTATATTTTAGGGAAAAAAAAAGAGTTTTGTGTTGGGATGATTGTTCAACGAACACATTTTTTTTTATAACTCCCAATTTTCAAACTGGGCATTTTATTTATTCCTGCCTGAGCTTAATTAGGTTTACTACTCATAGTCTCTGTACAATTGTTTTAGTTGTACCCTAAAGGCATTCAGAATGCAAATCAAACAGATATGTTTCGATTATAAGATTCTGACTCTTCTTAAATCTCTTCTTTTGTTTTGTTTTTTATTATCTACGAAACGCTAATAGTGCTCTACATCTTGAAACTACTTTGAAGACTTCTTCAATTGAATGTATAAATTGCACATATGTTTGTCAAGAACCTATTGAATGATACACAATAGTTGTTTTATTGTTGTTTTAACTGAACATAATGTATTAGTTGTGTTGTATTTTCATACCTTGTCTGGTGTGTTATGAAAATCTAGGTTTTAATTTCTAATCTTTGCCTGTTTTTTTGTTGTTGTTTAAAGCCATGTCATCTGTTAGTTAAATCTGTGATTCTTTTGAATTATTTCCCTTTTTTGTTTGTTTTCTTGTATAGGGCCAACAGATGTGTTATGAACAATGAACTTGTGTTGGCACGATGCTGATGTGTATGTGTGTTAATGACTCTCAATACTTTTATTGCAGGGCAATAAGAGCACAAGCAATATCATAGTACATTTTATATATATATAGTATATAGTACATGGAATTTATTTTGTTGAGTGGAAATCTAATTTTGATTGTGTTGTTGTTTTTATGTCATAGTCTTGGTTTAAACAATGTAATTGTATTTCTTATTGATTCAATGTCTACAGAACTAAGAAACTATATAGAAAGGACAAAAGTTCAATGTCAGGGTTCCCCAAACTAATGCCTGCAAATCAGTTCTTAATCATCTAGCTTGCTGTCCAAAAAAAAAATATTTAGCAGTAACATTTCTATCAGTATTTATATATTTTTTTGAAAATTAATCATTTAGTTTTTATTTATTATAAATTTAATAATACAACAAAACATTACTTTCAATTTAATTATAGCATTTTAAAATCTGCTATTTTAAAAAATGTAATATTAATAAAATAATGAAAAGCGGTAGCTTTACATACAAACTTGTAGATATCCCCAGTGGGTCGTTTTATATAATCAAACATGCTTTTACATTTACACGACAGATTTATACAAATTTAAATTTTGTTTTAAAAAACCTTCACCTATCTCTTAGTTTTTCAGACCATTGGGGCACCACACAATATCTGTTGACTGTCTTTTATACTAACTATAATAAAAATGCACACTTTTGGAAACCATAATAGTCATTGTACCTTCAAAGGCATATTGAACCTTTACGTTTTTTTTTTAAGCAATTTAATATACTACCAGTACATACATATTTGCTTTTAGTTTTCTGGACTGCTTTCATTTTTTCATCATCAAATAGATTACAGTGGGGGAAAAGTCAGTCCATAGATAAAAAATTGATTTGTGATCTTTAGTTAGTTTTCACTTTTTGTTCATTGGTCTGAGATGTTATTTCTGCTTGAAGTACAGACAGTGACAGTTTTATGTAGTCTTTGAATACATTATCCAAATAATTCAGTAACAATAAGTAGAAATGAACTTTTTATCTTTCATTTGATTGGGTGTGCCCTACAATGCATGATGCTGCTCACCCAGTTTGATGGTCACATGTCCACTGAAAACTTTTGAATCCTTTCTGGTAACAGTTATCACAGCTCACAGCTTCTTTAAGGTGAAAACCACTGCTATCATTTTGAACTTAGTTCAATGCCTGGGGATGTAATGTAAGAGGTCTATTGGCTTCCAGATGCATTCTGGGAATATTCCAGTAGCTGATACAAGGTTTTGAAATGATTTTTTAAAATGCTGTGTTAAGAGTAATGACAACAAGCATACCTCAATGAATCTTTCTAGAATTGGTTCACCTGACTTTCCATTACCACTTTTTGTTTGCTTTTCAGTTTTACAAAAATCAACAACTGAAATAGTTTTTATTTGAAGGAGACTCATTAAAAGTGTTAGGATGAACCATTGTTATGCACTAGTTCTCTATTATCCTGTTCAGTTGTACACTAGTTCCATTAGTATAAAAAAAAAACTTTGCCCTGACTGATATTGTTGGAAACTAAATATACTTTTTTGTTTTGTTTTATACACTATGTATAGAATATGTCTGCATTTGTGTGTGTGTGTGAAGCTGTTATGTTGAGTCTATTTTTTTTTATCATCAAATGTAAGGACACCAAAGTGAACATAAAATTAATTATCATTCAACAAAATTATATTAATGCCATTTGTATAAAAAAAAACAACAGAATAGTGGTTGATGTCTTACATATGGGGTGGGAAAAAGAAATGTTTGGAAAATTAAGGTTTACACAAAAGTATTATGCGCTTTGTAGCAGAAACTTTGTTTTTATATTTATCTTACATGTATGTATGTGAACAAAATTTGGTTACATTTTTACCTACGTAAATTTTTAACAGTTATTTCTCAATATAATATGCTGTTTAATGCTAGGATATTAATTTGCTGCAAGTTTTGCACAATTATTACAGAATTCTTAGAATATTTAGTAGTATTAGATTTGTGTACATTTAAATTATTACAATTTGACTATTCCAAGTAACTAGTCATATCTGTTTGTTTTATGCCCATAATTTCTTTGACTTAGATTCTCTTGAGACCATGATTCTATTTGTCTTTTAGATTCTGTAACTATTGAAACTTTTTTTTTTATAAGTGAAATGACTGGGATCCAAATACAGGGGCATCTGTCCATGACTAGCCAGACTCATCATTCTGGTTGTTGCCAGCTTATTGATTTATTATGGACTATTATACATATATCATAATATCACCTGCACTTCTGCTCTCTTTTTTTTTTTTTTATTAGTCCAAAGTAGCCTCTTAGCAGGCCCTCTGACTCAAGATGGATTGTGCAAGATATTTCATTATCTCTACATTTTTTGTTTTCTTTTCCATTTGTTGTTTACTTAGCAGATATTGAAAAATTGAGGGTAACAACATTGCTGTTTTTAAACTGGTCAACAATGTTGGTAAGGGGAAACAATTTTTGAAAAAACTTTTTTGTCTTATCAGTTAATGTGGTTACTCCATTGACTTTCCATTGTTCAATTGTTACCATTTAAAAGTTTAGTTCTAGCTTAACCACAATTGCTAGATTTTTTTTTTTAGCATTTTGGTTAATGTTGTCCTCTAAAGACTTCCATACCATAACAGCTGTTTTCTTTTCTTAAATGTGTTTGTGTTTCATACCCCCTGATAACATATCTATGTACCTTGTATCTATGAATGGCACACAGTACATATTATAATGATTGCTGGGATAACCTGACTTCCATTGGATAATATTTATGCACCAATATGGACACTTTTTTGTTTCTTTTCACTTCCAGGAGGTATTGTGGGATTTGTGTCTGCTTCATCCCATGCATTATTCTGACCTGTTGATTTTTTTTTAATTGGGTTATCTTTTTCTGTCTGAAACATTTTGAAGACTAATTACTCAGGGTTTAATGACAAAAAAAAACAAACAGCAACATGGTAAATCAGTTGAAGTTCCACTTTCACCATCTTTATGTCATGTTTTGTTGTTTTTTGTATCACTGATATATATATATATTTGTAATGATGTATCTGAATGCATTCTGTTTCTCCAGTTTCACGTATGTATTTCCTGTTGATGTAAATTTGGTTGTTTTAAACAAAAAACAATGTCTATTGTGAAAACTAATATGTATATACAAAAGTTGTATTAAATTATGACCTGACTGTTTTGTGTGTGTACAGGATTCATGCATATTGAAGGCTGATATAAATATTGTCAATGATATGAACTACTTGCATTAAGAGGTTTATATTGTTAGGTTGCTTTTTATTTTTTTTTGAATCTTAAATGCTTGGAATAAACATAACATTAATATGAAAATCATTAATTGTGTTTCTAGTTGTTCAATTTCCAAAACTAGAGAAAATGTTAGGTATAGTAGTCCTATGCTACATTAGACATAGTATATCAAAACTGTTGGGAAAGTTTGGATAGTATGTAAGGACTATCAGGGGAAAGGGGTCTGAAGATTTGTTATGTAAAAAATAAATATTCAAATGAAATAACAGGCATCAATAAAAAGTTTTAAAATATATAAACACTGTATAACAAGAAAAACAAACAATGCTTATACTTGTAGAGGTAATTGACTTATGTGTGTAGTTGGCCTTTTGGAGCCACGGGAATGTCATAAAATTATTTAAAATGGTTTAGTCTCTATTTTATTATTTTTTTTTGCTAATGTGACCCGCGACACGAGTGTCAGAAATTAAAATGGCCCGCAGGCCCTATAAGGTTGGGCATCACTGATCTAGAAAATTAGATTAACTTGACTATACTACCATATCGAACATTAGATTTATCTTAGGGGCTAAAGTGGCTTCTGTAAAGCTCTTTTAACTAGATAGTTTGTAGTTATAGCAATAGTAAACACCTAATGTAGTACATTGATCCAGTTTAGCAATAACTACAATGAATAGTAAACACCTAATGTAGTACATTGATCTAGTTTAGCAATAACAACAATGAAATTTTTTAACTTGTCCTTTCATTTTTGGGAAAATTGAGAATATTTATTGTATAAAGCTATCATAAGTGCATCACACACACACTCTGGAAATTAAACTAAAAGTGTCTCCCAAGCATAATGGTGAATTACAAAGGAAAAAAGTTAATTAATGAGGTGTTCAATAAACTTTAATCACACTTCTATAGTTCAGTGCATTAGATAAACCAACTCATTCATAAAATGAAATGTTAACATTTTTCTTGTTTTTTGTTTTTTTCACAATATGGAATAAACAAATAATGTTTCATTCCTAAAACAAATGAAATCATTAACATCACAATCATTAATTTAATCATCACAATTCTAGAATACACAAAAAATTCACAAAAAAAAAAAAAATGATTTTCATTCAATAAATTAAGAATATTAGACCTATAATCTTGCTATCTTTCTATTATATTTTTTAAAATCTTGAAATCAAAGCAAAGAGTCTAGTACAGAGACAAAGGGAAGACAGAAACATGATTATTCAAAAAGGGCCCACAACTTTTTTTTATATTATAATCATATTACTTTCTTCAAGAAACTTCAGATTTCCTGAGACTCAGTTTAGATATGAACCAAATTACTATTTTGATTATCTAATGCCTATCAATTTATATAAGATCTTGAACGAATAACCCTAACCCATATAACAAAAAAGAAATGCTTGCCATTAACATTAGCACATGCCCTAAGATAGAGATAAATAGTGAGGTAAGACGTTACATACACATTTTATTGCATATCAAATATATTGACTATAATGACAAGCTGTCTTCAACAGCTCTTAGCTATTTACCCTTCACATTGAAATGTATAGAACCTGCTTGCAAACTTCTGAGACTAGAAGAGAAACTTAATGGTGTCCTAGATACAGATAGCTCCTGAGTCATAAGCAGACCAAGTAGTTAGAGAAATTGAACATTAACATCTCACAAGCACAGCAATGAAACTTTGCTACATGATTTGGAAAAATTAAAATATTAAGTCTTCACGTTTCTGCAAAACAGAAACAATTTGAGTGTCTCCCAAACCCTAACCCTAACCTATGATGAATTACAAAAAAGAAAAAAGCAAAACAGAGTAAGTTTAATTATGCTCATTTTTTCTTGCAAAACTATGGCTTCATTCTTTATACATTTTCAACTACTTTTATGCATAAAACTATATCTCAGATCAGACCAATAATATTGGGAAAAAATGTACAAACAAAGATGTGATTTATTTATTCCTCAAGGTTTTTGTTTACTTTACTAATATGGACATATTGTTTTTCTCATTCCCAACTGATTCCCCAGCTGGCCATTCAACATTCTCCTAAGTATTACTGACTACATGCACACTTTCAGCAATGGACATGTTTTACATACTGGAAATAACAATAAGCTACTTATCCCCAGTTGAAATCTTCAGTAAGAACAATGAGACACCCACGTTCACACCTCTGTTTACAAGAGAAAACTATGTGGGTGACTAACACAACCCAGAGTACAATTAGATGATATTTGTGTTCTACTGATTAGAAGTAAAGATCTTATTGAAACTAGTAAGTTCTTTGATTCAATATGAACATGTGAATTTACTGTACAATACAACAGATAGTATGTGCATTAGAACTCAGTTTCTATTTCACAGAAACAAACTGACTTCTTACACTGTGGAGGGAAAAACAACACAAAGCAAAATGTATTGGCCCAACTGGCATACTTTCAGAGTCAGTGAAACATAAAAACTGAAGTTTATTACTTTGTTAACTTAAGACTACAAGTAAATTCTTTATTTTTTTAAATTTTTTTTTCAAATTTAGAAAAGCCATGAATTGGGTAGCCGAGAGACTCAATGAGTTTTAACTCAACTTAAATTAACAGGAATTAAAACATGAATTAAGGCTCAAAAGCACTACACAGTTGCTAAATATTATAAAATAAAATGACGGAATCACACACAAAAAAATAATCTGAAGAAGAGCAGTAACATAGAAGTAAATAAAGATATTGATATATCAATATATAAACTATTGCTTATACATTATGCCAAACTCTTTACTATTAAGAACATTAGAAACATTATAGGCAGTATCTGACATTATCAGTCAACATTATAATTATCACACTCAGAAAAACCTGCAAAAATCAATGCAGGAAACATTGAAAGCTAATGTTAGTATTTTTTATAAACAAAACTATGAAATAAATATGAAAAAATGTACATTGATTAACTGTGGTCAATTGATTTTCAGTTTCAAAAAACTAATGTTTCCCTTAGAATATGTTCACACTATAAAACAAGAGAACTGAAAAGTTTGTATAGGTATATCTACACAGCAGAAATTCAAACAAACATTCAAACTGTTGGCTGCAAAACTAAATGTAGAAAGCAAAGAGTATATCGACTATCAATGCTGACAACTCAGTGAGCATTGCTTATTAGCTATGGAATAATAGCTGCTGACTATTTCATTAATGATGGCGTCACAACTATTTATACTTCTACCTTGAATACATACACATTATTGCCATTGTAATAGTTTATTGAACATAAAATGTCAACAATTATTAGGGTATTTAATTTGATTACAGATATATTTAAATATTGATTATATAAAATATTGATAAGCAGAAACACTAGGGTATTATTACTTAGACCAAAAAAAACAAAGTCTTGAAACAAAATGTCTTTGTTTAGCCCAGATGCACCCTTCCATGTCAGTCCAACCATAGAACATCTCACAGAAAAATGTTTAAAACGCAGAAGACTCAAATGCTTGAATAAAATTCATACACTTATAAACATTAAATTTAACATTTATAATGTGTTATTAAGTATGAAAAACATATATCTTTATAAATGGAAGAAAAAAGAAACTGACCACTACCATGTCTGCATAAATAGCTTGATATTATTTTCATAATAAATCTAGAATTTATAAACAGTCAAATTTATGTATATATTATTATAATATATTTTCTTAGTAAAATAGGCACTATCTACCAGAATGTATCTCATAAAGATAGAGAGTTTAAAGTGTGCCTGTTAATCTTTATACAATTTATATTTCATTATATGAAATGTATAAATCTTAAATTATTTGTCTAATGAATCACAGAACAGATTGTTAAGCTTCTTTTACAACTTACTATAAATATTGTTACGAATCTCACTATCCAGTCTCTCTGCAAACTGCACCATACACCACCAACTTAAAGAACTTGACAACGTAAAATAACGTAACACTTAAATAGTTGAATAAATAACAGCCAATACTGTACAATTGGCAACACATACACTGTACAAATATCTCTCCGATAACACCGTTCCACAGTATCAACTCTTGCACTGGCCTCTCCGTCTCGTTCCGGGCTTGCACTGGGTTCAACAGTTCAGGACTGACTTCACACACTAGGCTCGTTGTGTCGGACTCGATCCCAGACCAAGATCAAGACGCCAGTTGTCTCAACTGTACTTGACAGTACTCCATACAGAACCACACCGCTGAACTGTGCTGTAGTCGACCGGACTGTAGTGAACCGGGCTCTGAACCCTTGTCGTGAACCTTCTTTCGTGAACCTTGCTGTATTGAGCTCCTTTTCTCGACCGTCTTGACTGCGATACCTCCGCTCTTATATAGGGTCCCTACTGGCCTTCTCAAACCGGACAGAACGCCGCTCGACGTTTCTAGTTGGTCAGATGACTACAACTCTCGTGACGCTCCTGAGCTCTGTTCACGACGGCGATCCTTCCCGAACCGTCCTGTTGACACTCGACTCGGCTGACCGTCATTACTCGTCACGATTGACCGCTCGTCTAGCTCTGGCCTGGGGCGATTTGCGTCGGCTGACTACACACACACCACTACCCCTCTCTGTGCCACCACCAGGTTTATAACAATATAATAAGATGATTTTCAAAGAAGTGGAGGGAAAAAAAAATTTTTTTTATAAAAATCATTTCCATTTTAAAGAAAAAAATGAGACAAAAAAAATATTTTTATCATCTCTAACACAATCTGATATATTAAATGAATTTTACTGAAAGATTTTTTTGTTGACAAAATTTAAAATTTGACATGTTTGTGCACTAGTATAAAATAATATTTTACTAAACAAGAAAACAGGAAAAGAAACAAAAACTGTAAATCTTACATTTTATATTAATGTGCCTGTTCTTCAAAAGAACAAAATATATTTCTTAATTATCAGTATGATTAAATTAGTACTCACTGAACAAGTGAATGAAACAAATAATTAAATAGCTAAACATGATCTGTAATATTGTCATAGGTGTAACAAACTAACAGGCTCTACATGCTTTAGAGTATGAATACAATCTGTTGG